AGCTAAAGAAACAATCCAATGATTAGTCTGAATATTGCAAGTAGGGTGGCACACTTAAACCAATAGGTGAAGAATAGAATGACCTTAAATTAAACTAGGCTCATGCAGCAGTAGTTTATTTGTCACAGCAGCAAAACTGGGATTTTTTTTCCCAATGGTGCCTACAGTTTTAATTGTTCCCTCTCAGGGCTGGTTCTGGGTAAGATAAGCCTCACCTTTGCTGTTTTGGAGCATAGCCATGGGGTAAGTGTGATTGGTCACTTGGGGATGCTTTGCGGGTGGATGAGTTATTTAGCAACAGAAATTGCCTGGGTTTTAAAACCTTTTGAATTTCAGCATTTTCTATTGCTGGGGCTAGTTCTTTGTTACCCATTGTACCACAGTCTCTAATCCTAATACTTCTGATTATCCCTACTTACTGTGCTTTGGTTCACACCATGAAGCAGTCTTGGAGCTTGTGACCTGGGTTCCTGTCAGATGGAACTAAACTGGAAGATGTGTTCCAACTGCAAATGAGCATTCAGCCCATGGGACTAGACTAGAGCTAGTCCAGAGTGTGTTTCGAGAAAAAATGAACCCTGAGATACCTATAATGTTGACATCAGGTCCTCTACATTGTTTCTCTCTACAGATGTTTCAGTCAGTCTAGACATAGCCTCTGATGGCAACTTTGCTTTTGAGACTACCTTCTGTTTTAATGACATAGACACCTGTGTAGCTGGGAAGAAAAGTAGTATGCATGGGGGGAAACTGTTCACACTGGAGAAGCAGCATGAGCTTTCAAAGTGATTTTCTTCCTTCATCATGCTCTCAATAGAAAATGCAAGCAGTAATGCTGTAAGTTAAGGAGTAACGGTCCTTGTTCCTTGTTTCCCATGTAGTAGAGGAGGGGTCCTGTGAACTCATTTAGCTCTTTGCATGGTAACCAAAGGTGGCACCTGCTAGGGGACAGCAGGGTCCTGGCAAGCTCTTCTGTCCTCAGGGACTTGGGGCTCTCTCTGCATTGAGGATATTTGGCTTTGCCTGAGTTCAGCAGGCAGAGGCTAACTACTGTACTGGGATTCAATTGGGATGTTACCATAGCATCCTGGGACTTTTACAATCTATTTAGAAATCCAAAGGTTTGAAAAGAGTGCTTGAAAGTTTCTGAACTCTGGCAAGTTGCCGAAATGTAATTACACAAAAGACAAAGACTTACTGAAAGCAGCTCTGTTCAGAGAAGCAGCACCTGAGTGCTAGAGTTCCCAGCGTAGACATTTCTGGGAGCTGGGGCTGTTTTATCACAGTCTCATCCCAAGGCTTTTTTCCTTCCTCACGTGCACGTGCCATCCCACAACAATAGACTAGGTGTGCTGCAAGACGCAGCTTTCTCAGCAGTGGCATTGGAAGAGGCTCTGTTCTGTGGTTTGGTTGCTTTGGGGCATGTAAAGGAAAGGAGTGAACAAGTAAGCATCTTGAAGTCCCTACTGCAAAAGTTTCTTTAGATCTTCCCATTGAACGAGAACCTTGCTTTATTTTTCTCTCATCTTTCTCCAGAATATTCTCACAAGTGAATGGGAAAAGCTGTTTTGTTAATGATGTATCCAGTTACATAACAATTCTTGTGTGAAATATGAGTGCTTGCAGTGAACTGGTGTTAACAAATGAACATTCAGTTCAATTTCTAGTCTCAGTTTCAGTAAGACAAATAAAATAATGTCATTAGTAACTGTTTTTAAATGTTCTGATTTCTGTACTCTATTTGCTGGTAATGGAGAGGGCTGGGGCAGCCATTAGGTTTGCAATAGGAGGCTTGGAGACTTGCAGAGTTGTTGAAAGCTTTCTTCCTGAAGGAATCTCTTGCAGATGGCTGCACTAAATGCCTAAAAGAAGAAAAGGAGAAGTTAACCAGAGAAGTGAAAAATTATTTTCCCCGTTTCTGGGTTCACAAACCAAGTTCTAAATTCTTGATGACAAACTAATACCTTGTTGAGCTACACTAGTTTTTTTTGTAAGTCTTTTTCCTGCAAAGGTGCTTGTCAGCTCTGGCCACCTAACTTTGCGAAGGGTATGAGTTGTTCGGTGAGAGGAGGTCAGATAGAAGGAAGACTGAGCAGTCCCAAGGGAAGAATCTTAGAAGCTGTTAAGCTTGCTGAGAATGTTTGAGCTAAATTTGTTGCTTTGCTGTTGATATCTTGCTTACTTAAGTCATTCCTCTGACTCTGAGGCTTGATTCATTTTTGCATTCAAAAGAAACTGGAAAAGACATCTGTTTGCACATATATAAAAATCATCAGTAAGATGTTGGCCATGTTCCCTATGTGCTGTTGAAATACCCACAACAGCTTTGGGTTGTCACCATTTCTTTTTCTTCCAAAAGGGTTCACCTGTAAGCCATTACTACCCACCACATTAATGGTAACCACATCTGGGCAATTGTTAAGCAAAAGATGGCCAAGTTATTTTTGTACTGCCCATCTACCTATGATAAAGGGATTTCAAAATTTATAGTGTTCCTGTCTCTTGTAGTGATTTTGAACCCTGACTGAGAATAGATCTGTTGGTTTGTCATTGGGCTGCTTGCTGGATAGCTCCATCATGAGCTGGCTCCTTTCAGTTTAGCTTTTACAACTTACAAAAAGGAAATTATAAAAGAGGGTCTTTGAAATGCAGCATCTTAACTAGGATAAAATTCTGACTCCTATGTTTGCAGACTTGAGCTTTTGGGGAAAAATCCTTCCATTGTATAGCTAAACAAAATCTTATTGCAAGAAATGAAGAATGAAAGAAATATTGTGCCTCTTTTACTCAACTAGCTGGCGGCACTTGGCTGTCAGCACATCCAGGTGTGCTGATGTTCCAACACATCCACCCACTCTTTAAACTGAGTAAGCAACAACAAGTGATATCATACCCTTCTGCCTGCTAGGTTTAGAGCAATCCCATGTTGAAAGTGTGAGTGACTTGAGTTTTCACTTACTAGAACTAAGGAGTAATACAGTAGGACTGTCTGCTGTGCATTAATAGTATGTTAGCTTCATGTCTGGACCTTTCCATTACAGTTGTACCAGGATCTACTTCCAGAAGTTGCTTGTGCTGTAGTTGTTCTGAGCAACATAATTTGGTGCATTTAATTGTATCACTGTGCCTTCATCTTCTTTCTCTTCCTAAACATCTCCCTTACATGTGTCATCTTTCTGAAAGCTGCCTTCTCCTATTATACCAAGTTTCTTCTTTTTTATTTGTATCCCTCTTTTCTCCATGAGCCTGTCAGATCATCAGCAAAACAATGCAAATTGAAAATGAAAAAAGTCTTACAGGCTGTGGTTAGGGATGAGAAGATCTGAAATCCCATTTCCAGCTTTGTCACAGGCATCTTGTGAGACTTTATGCAAGTTACTTTCCCTTACTCTGAACTCATTCACTCTAAGGCAGTGAGCTACAGCACTTCGTAATGAATACTCTACTCACAGCAATAGTCATGGGAGCCCTTTCCTGTAATTTTGGCATATTTTGATCAGGCATATAATTTATTTATTTGCTTTAATCTCTTGGGACAATGGCTGTGCTTTCCTCTGGTTTGTACAGCATTGGTGCATGAATAAGGTTTCATAAATATGAAATAATATATTTGTCCATGATATTTACAGAAAGAGTATTCCTAATTCCAGGCTTCAAGAGTCATGAGTCTTAATCATAAAGTGATTGTACTTAGTTGCTTTTCCTTCTGGGTAGGAGGGCTAGAAACAATGTTCTACATCTAGCTTTCAACACATGACAGAAAATTCCATTTACTTGCATGTCTCTGAGAAGCATGACATTAAAAACCAGAAATTGTGATTCTCCTTTGAAAAATTAAATTGACTCCCCCCCCCAAGTTGTTACATGACTTTTTTATTTTGCTTGACTCTCTGTGGTAGAGTTCTCTTTCAAATGTGAGAGACCCTTTTCTATACTATGAAGGATAAAGTGATTTAAACTATTTATATTTAAAGAGATGATTTAAAATTGCAAACTGAGAGGTTTCACACTGACCACTGGATTTTGTCTGTTGTGGAGATGCTACCTATGGAGAGGTTCTGCTGTGATGAAAGTAAACTTGTATCTTCTCATTAATCCTCTCCTATGTGGGAGAGTTAAGCTGCTGTCCCAAGTGAATGTTTTTAATGATCTCTCTGGAGTGTTTGAAAGCTTTGTCCCACTTGCATGATGTGGAGTGAAATGCACAAAATCTGTCTTTGAGGCAACCCTGTCATTATACCTTCTGGTATATAATGTTTGTATTTGCATTTCTATTGTTCTTACATGTTCAGCTTTACCATGCCCAAAGGAGAGCTTCTTGCACTTCAGAGAAACCTTTTTAAGACAAGTCTTTACTACAATAAGTTAGCTTAAAGTGCTTACAGCTCAAATATGGGAAATCTGTACTAAAATACAAGAATGTGAATATCAAATTGACTATCCATCATAATTAGCAGCGAATCTTTTCAAAATGCAAAAGTGTCCTTTAGTGTCAATCTGCTTTTCATAACAACTGAAACAGATTTTATCCATCCAATAGAATCAACTTTCAGTAACCTAGAAATGAAATCTTGAGGTTTCTGTTAATGAGGACTTTTTTCTGTGTGTGTGGCTGTGATGAGAAAACTGTGATGAGAATAGCAGTGAAGTTCAAATGATACTAAAAGAAAGGGCATCTTCTGGTCAGATAAACAACAGTTACTCTTGGCCAGCCATTTTCCAGTGGATTGGTTTCAAGTAAGTGGCTCTTGGACACCCTTTGCTGGGATTCTTTAGAATGAATTTTACTTTCACAAACCTCTAATTCCTATAATTAAGTTCCAGTGTGTGGTTTTTGCAAATGGTCTTCTCTCTAGAGAACAGATGGGTATATGCTTTGGAGGTTTGGTTTCACAAAATGTAACTGCCAGTGGTTTTCTTGCTACTGTTCCAGCTGGCCGCAGAACATTCACATCGGTTCAGCTTTCTAACGTTCTCTTGTTCTGACTTTATCTCCACAGTTTTAACAGTGTGCGTCAAGGAACACACATCTTGTTCCGTGAATTCAGCTTTGTTCAAGCTACCCCTCATAACAGGGCATCTTTTCTTCGGACCTTCTGGAGGTGTTTCCGAACAGTGGGAAAAAATGGAGGCAAGTATTCCAGCATCTGTCCTGTTACCTTGCCATTAAAATCATTAGCTAGACTATTAATGCAGTACAAATACTGATACTTCATACTGTGATCTAGTGTTTGAACATTATTAATAGTGAGACACCATCACAGTTGCCTCTGGAATAGTTTAAAAATGCTCGCAGTGTAAAGTAGTGTAAGAGCACCTTGTTGCCAGTGCTACTTCCACCACAGAAAGTGTATCAAGCAACAGTAGATCAGAGGGAGGACATTTGTTGGCCTGTGCATGGGAATGAATAGAAAAAATCCCAAATGTGCTTGGGGTTGGTGAGTGGGAGCAGAGTAACATACCCAGAGATGGTTAGAGTATAGGGTATGGAGCATGAAGGAAGCAGGTGCTGAGATGATTAGGCAGTTGGGGTACCAAGTGCTCTGACAAGGAGCCCTGCAGGAACTGGAGTTATAGTGGTGTTGGGCTGTAGGGTGGTGAACGCTACCACCTGAGCTGTGTCTCAGCTAGTCCTGACACATCTCCTAGATGATGTTGAAGGATCCTGATGGCTGTGGAAGGAGAACCACTGGCAACTGTGTGACCTCTTCCCCCACCCTACCCGCAAAGAAAAAGCTCCAATGCCAAAATAACTATGCAGCACTATCTTGTCTAGCTATTCTTACACTGCAGTCAGTACATTAGGTATTACAGAACTGGCCAGAGTTCAAAATAAACTCATGTAACTACATGCAACGAAAATTATGTTTTGTTTTAGTTTTTAATTTAGTATTTTAAGCAAATACACTGAATGTTGCTGTACAAATATGAATTTTGGTTGTTGTTTTTACTCTAAGCCTCACTTCTTGCAGGAAAGACTAGAACCATCTCTAAATACAGATAAAACCTCACCTTCTGGCTAGGCTTTGCAACACTTCTGCACACGATGAACTCTGAATAACAACTTGACTATTTTGACACATGCCATTTAGATCCTTGGAAATTAGACAATCATAGTTAAACATAACAAAATCTGTAATTAGCTACTGAAGTGACTGACTATGCTGTCTAACACCTTCCCAGTGATAGGTACTTCGTAATGTTCGACATCACATTAGTTCAGGAATAATATTTTTAAGGTTTCAGTTAAATTGCGTGGTACTAATCTAACCAGTATGCAGTGAGGACATATTTGAGATCAGGTCATAGTCAGGAAAGATAAACTCTGGTCTCCTAGAACATATTTCTGTAGGACAGTTAGAGATGATGGTGAAGAAGTCATCCACCAGAACTGCAGCTGACACTGGTAAACCTTGCTGACAAATTGAGAAGAAGCTATCTGATGCAAAGTACCCGCTACTGTACTTTCAGTGCAAGTTTTCGTCAGGTTTCATCTATCTAGCATCTGATTCATCTGGATGATGAGAACCTGGATTTGTTTGAAAGAACTGAAAAGTTTTGCCTACATAGTATCTTCCTTCTCTTTTACCTTTAGCAGTATTATATTCCATTAAATATGGAAAAGGTTGTGGAAGAAAATGTAGTCACCATAGTACTTTGAAGGGGAAGGGGGAGCATAGAAACAAAAGCTTAGGTGAATGTTACTGTTCTCCGATTGTGGTCTTAAGAGTTCAACATGTATTTTTCTGACTTTAAAGTCCAGTGGCTGCACTTTTTATTCTGAGCAAATATGGCATATTTACCCCTATATTTATACATTACACACATTTTCTTTTTACATTGATTAGGTACAGAAATGCATCACTTTAGAGACCTTGCTGTCAATATTTTCATTCACTCAGTCCAATTCCTCTGATTCTCTAGGAGTAATTACAGACTAGAACCTTGATTTTATTCATTCTGGTTTTATCTGCTATGGGATTTTTTTTTTCCTGCTATACTTGTACGTAGGGGAACGGAGAACATTCATGGTCTCTTAAGAACTAATCAAATTTACTAAGAAGCTGAACATGTGCAAAATAGTGGGTGAAATATGGTCACAAATTACCACAATCAGGCATAGACTAGACCTGGATTCCTTTCCTTGAAATACATTGCTTTTAGGTGAATGTAGGAAGGAACCATGTTATACAAGAAATAGCAGCAACCAGAAGCGAGATCATTGGTGATCTGAACTACAGAATGAGTCTCTTAACCGTAGAGAGTCAAACTAAGTGATGCCCAAAGCAAGTAAGACTTTCAACTTGGAACTTTCTTTAGAAGCGTGGCTGGTGGTACATCTTCTAATTGGATTATACTAGAAATTAGTTTTAAGTTGTTTCTTCATGATCACTGCACTAGAACATGAAACCATATGTACACATCAAATTAAAAACAGTTATACAAGCTTGCATGGAAACCTGACTCTATCTACAGATAGTTTGTTGCTACAGCATCTCATTTTATGATTATAGAAATTTGATAATTTAAACATACTATGTGCAGGAGTGTATTGGATTTGTGTGGTGGGGGGTGGTTACAGGGGTGGCTTCTGTGAGAAGGTGCCAGAAGCTTTCCCCATGTCCAACAGAGCCAATGCCAGCTGGCTCCAAGAGGGACCTGCCGCTGGCCAGGGCCGAGCCCATCAGCGACAGTGGTAGCGCCTCTGGGATAATGTATTTAAGAAGGGGAAAAAAACCTGCTGTACAACAACAGCTAGGAGAGAGGAGTGAGAATATGTGAGAGAAACAACCTGCAGACACCAAGGTCAGTGAAGGATGGGGAGGAGGTGCTCCAGGTGCTGGAGCAGAGATTCCTCTGCAGCCCGTGATGAAGACCATGGTGAAGCAGCTGTGCCATCCACCCATGGAGGTCCACAGGGGAGCAGAGACCCACTGTCAGTCCAGGGAGGACCCCATGCCAGAGCAGGTGGGTGTCCGAAGGAGGCTGTGACCCCATGGGAAGCCCATGCTGGAGCAGGCTCCTGGCAGGAGCTGTGGCCCCGTGGAGAGAGGAGCCCACACTGGAGCAGGTTTGCTGGCAGCACTTGTGACCCCGTGGGGTACCCACGCTGGAGCAGCCTGTGCCTGAAGAACGGAACCCCTGGAAGGGACCCACACTGGGGCAGTTTGTGAGGAACTGCAGCCTGTGGGAAGGACCCACATTGGAGAAGTCCGTGGAGAACCCCATGCTGGAACAGGAGAAGAGAGTGAGGAGGAGGGAGCAGCAGAAACAATGTATGATGAACTGACCACAACACCCACTTCCCATCCCCCTGTGCTGCTCAGGAGAGAGGAGGAGGTAGAGAAATCAGGAGTGAAGTTGAACCGTGGTAGAAGAGAGGAGTGGAGGAAAGGTGTTTTAAGATTTGGTTTTATTTCTCATTATCCTACTCCAATCTGATTGGAAAGAAATTAAATTTATTTCCCTTAAGTGAAGTCTGTTTTGTCTGTGACAGTAATTGCTCAGTGATCTCCCTGTCCGTGAGTCTTTTGTTATATTTTCTCTCCCCTGTCCAGCTGAGGAGGAGAGTGATAGAGCAGCTTTGGTGGGCACCTGGGGTCCAGCCAGGACCAGCCCACCACAGGGAGGTAGGTAAGTTACAGAGTCCTGGTAAGAAATTCTCTTTATGGTTATCCTGTAATATGCGGCAGAGCATGGGACAAACAACCTGCTGGTTCTGAAATTAGAAGCAGTATAGCTTGGATTAATGTTGGTATATTGCTTTTAAGACCTGAACTAGTATCTTTCTGCATTTGGTGCCCTGTGTCAGGTGTATGGAGAGTTATTCATTGAATGTCCATTTTATTTCAATAGAATTTCATCGAATTTCTGTGTGCAGAAAAGGATGAAAATATGCCCTTTGCCTTCTACAGTAAGATTCTGCTCTGTCCCAGTTTTCTCTCCTGGATTTGTTTCTGGGCAGGAATTACTACATACTTCAGTATTGTCACTGATTTATCTCTGTGAAGAACTATGATGGCATCTTTTGTCTTCCTTTATCAAAAGTGTTACATTCACTAACTTCCATATCTCCTGGCATGTTCTTGGGTTTATTTATTCCGTTAGTATAGAAGTGTTTATTGCCATTTTCTTCTCTCATTTACTGTAAGTTTCATTACAGATTTGAATTTCTGTTTTAGGAGTGAGTGGTGGCTTTTTCTTGGTTTTGTCCATCTGTGGAAGATATACCTGATAAACTACATAAATGCTAGCTATGTGAGGATATAGGTCAACATAAGAAATGAGAACTTGCATCAAAGCTTGCACCCTGGCTGGCTGGAAGCAAGAGAGAATAAAATCAAAGATGTAATAAGATACAATTTCCAAGCTTACACAAACTCAAAAAACCCCAAACAAACAAAACCCCCACCTTTCCACTTTAGAGTTTTTAACTGGAATTTTACAATAGTAGCAAATATCTCACAAACAAGTGAACTAATTGCTTAATCTGGCAGTTAGTTGCTCCTCCTTGATGCAGGGAAATTTACTGCTTTGTCTGTCAGTCTTGAAATAACCATGCCTTGACTTGGAATATGCACCTCATTCACCCAAGCAGATGCATCTAGCCATGAGTTCTCAAAGAACCCATAACAGAGAAATTTATCTGAACAGAAGCAATACTTAAATATAACAATCCGTGTATGCGCAGAACCATGTATACACTAATTGAAGTGCACTAACATTACTGTTTCTCTTGGGAAATTACTGTAGATGTTACTTTTCTACTTAATTCCTCATCCTTTTCAATTACTGGGAAGTAGTTCTTCATGGAGAGATGGAGCTTTTATGTTCCATTTTTCTATGTTAGCCCTGCTACCTTATGGGTTCTAGTTACATTGCTTTTCATAACTCCTTTAGTTTGGAGGCTATTTTTCCTTTTGTCTCCAAATAGCAAGGAAAAATGACTAGCTTCACTAGATGTGATAGTAACATAATATACTTCAAAAGTAAAGAAAAAGTTTGAGTGTTTTTGTTTGTTTGTTTGTTTGTTTTAAAAAAAGAGGATTTCTGTTTGGTAATATTCTGGATCTGTGTTTTTTACAGGATTCCCACTGATTTTAGAAGCTTAGCAAGATGTAGAGTTCTATT